AACATAGACTCTCTCTCTCTCTCTCTCTCTCTAACTTTGAAGTAGGTGAAGTAGTGGTTGAAAGCAATATGTATCCGTGGGTCCAATTCACATTTTCAGGATCGAAATGGACAAACCATGAACTTCTGATCTACATCTCACACATGCATGCTCGACAATGGTGGGTCACCTTTAGTTTTATTTATTGGTCTAAGTTTCAATGGACGGCCTAGATGAAGGGGGAGCACAGCCAAGTGGGGATATCTCCACGGTCCATCGAGTCCACTATCTACTACGTATTATAGTAATGGTGAAATGGTAACAGACTAACCCTAAAAGATTGGCTTCTTTTGGTGGAGCCCTGGCCTCCTCATTGGTGCTTCCACGTCGTCCACCAGTGCTCCTAGAGAGAGAAAGTCAATTGTTCTTTTGGACGATTCTTAGAGAGAGAAAATGCTCTTTAGATGATTCCTTGAGAGAGAAAGTGTTCCATCATATCCAAGCATGACTGGAAGGTTCCTTAGCAAAGTCCAAGGCTAATGTATTTTAGTATTTTGTGGCCTTCCACCACCAATGCCAATGCCAATGCCAAGATTTTTAGAGAGAGAAAGGATGAGATTTTTAGAGAGAGAAAAGGGTTGAATGAAGAGAGAGAAAAGGTGGGGGGTTGGTGGGTTCCAAGGTTTAATCCACTTGCCACCTTGAATGATGTTTGCTTTGAAATCTCCAGAGAATTTATTATTGTGGGTAAGAGAATCAGGTATGAAACCTTTGTGGGTTAATATAACAAACACTTTGGGGTTGATGGGGAAATAAATATTTATTTGGGTGTGGTGGGAATGATATGGGATGTTGACTCTCTCTAAGAAAATTGGTCAGTGTTGGAAACAATCATGAAATTCCCCTCCCCCACTACAAATGCCTTTTGCCCCTCTTCCTCTCCACCCTAATGCACTTACTATCGATTTCATTTTTCAATTTTGTTTTTAAGCCCCCACCTCCTAAAAAAACAATAATAACTCTCTCTCTCTCT